TTATGGTACATTATTCCTTATAATGTTACTACATATAAAAACTGTAATACTGTAAAGAGTACCAGTAACAGAGGCTGGTAAATCAGTAACTGTGTACACAGAAAGTACAAACAAAAGTTAAAACTACTGATACGACCCACCACGTCATGTTACCATAACACTACCTTTGGCTCATTTCGGCTACGTGTTCCTGAAGCCAGCTGGATCCTGAGGCTGCAGTAACATGATTGAATGCTCTATTATTCATTCCATAACAAACCACCAGGTGACAAAAAAATGCAAGAGCCAAAGCTGGCAAAAATCTCTCTCTGTTGAAATAGAAAACAAATTAGGTTGTGAAATACATATATATATCATTCCCAAAATAGAACTTTCACTATCAAAATAACATATTCTTTTCTTGAAAACTTAATGTTAAGCTCAATATTCACTTAAATGACTGTTTACATAATATAAATACTAGCAGAGATTCACACAAGTAACTTCAAAAAAAGTATGTTTTGTTAGTTTGAATAATTAAAGTAAATGTGAGGTAAACATTAAACAAATCGTAAACTATGCTGTATGTTAAATACTCCTTGTGATAAAACAGATGAACTTACAAATGAATTTCTGGTTGCTGAAGAAAACGTTCCAAACTGCATGCATGAGATTAAAAAAAAAAGAATCAAATGAGTGTTATTTTCCTTTTTCTTTATAAAAATTGATTTACATAAAATCATTTAGACTAATTGTTTTTCCACAAGTAATAATTTTATGTTGAATGTTTTTTTCTACAAAATAAACAACCATTGACCCTCTCAGCAACACCATGTAATAGCTTTATTTAATAAAAAGTTAGAAGCTACATCACATAAAAATAAAACTGTATTGGATCACAGAGTAAAAACTACAACTAACGTGTATGTATAGTTTACAGCCATCTTAACTCAAAACACTGCAACTAGGTCCATGATCTAGTCCATAACATAGAAGTAACATTCCTACAGTTAATTACAGTAAATATTACTGGTGTTCCAGATGTGTTTTACACTGTGTGTTGAAACATGCATGACTCAGTACGATGGGTATGTGGACACAACTGGTAGTGGACGGTATGACAAGTTGGTAATTTGGAGAGTAAAAAAGAGTATTTAAATGTTTCAACTCAAGCTGGTTAAACTTGATTCCTGGAAATAAAACAGAAGATCTTTAATTGTTTTCCTAGTTGATTTTAGTAAAACGTAAAACTGAATAACGATTTCTACCTTTCTTTCACGATAAAAAGACTGCTTAACTGAGCAAGGATAGTTGATGCAAACACCGATAACACTTCAAATCGTTCATATCTGTCAGTAAGAAAAATATCAAGTCACTTACGTATACTAAAATTATATACAATATATATGTTTTAACAGCCTTTAGACAGTTTACGTTTATAAAAGTGAAAATTCTGAATCTTACAAATACTTAAGTAAGTTTCATTAATCATAGTTTCTAGTTTTTAATTAATTGTAGTTTCTGGATGTCATCTCGTTTGTTGACTCTCATT